GTATGTATGTATGTATGTATGTATATATATAATTCATAGTATGCTTCTTCCATAAACATTTACATTATTGTACCACAGTTGAGATCGATTTGTGGATGTGCGAGTATATTGATAAGCGTTTTACACAGAGAGGATGTTATAATAATCTGTAAGTTGTTCTTACTCTGCAGTTTATTAGTACTTCTTCTTTAGCAATGCGCATGCGTATGTCTCTGTAAATATCTCGCGTTTAATGTGAACTAGAACCGCGCTGCTTGACCTAATACGGATTGGAGACTGAGTCACACATTGATTGTGCATTTCATACTAGAGACAGAATAATATCTTTGTCTTGCATGTAGCTTTTTTTTTGAATGACCACAGACCAATATTAAGCAACATAAGTGTCGTACTTGACCCGAATATGAAGATCGCCTTTTGCCCACATATATGCCCGTGAAGAGGTGTGCTTGACCCCTTGGACCGAACTTTAAATCGGCATTAGTACGTACCCATAGCAGCACGCTCCATTCCCATGACCCATTAAACCACGACACACAGGTACCTCCGAGATATACTGTACATTGTGATGGCTTCTCAGCTTCTATCCCTGCTCAGCACCACCTACGCCTGGTACTTGCTATTCCTGGTATGTACCATCTCAGCTCACGTACGGAGTGCGCTAAATGCAGCAGAAGTATGCAAGTCAGTCACCAACCAAGGACTTACTTCCTCAGAGAGTATATCCGTTGCTCACACTTTGTATACATAGCTATTCTGTATCATCCCAGAGCCCCCTATACCCATCGCTGTATTGCTTCGCCCATGCCCCATGAGTCTCTCATTCACATACCCGTGTACCTTGTTTTGAACCACTCCTCGCGTGCTTCGCATGTACGCAGGGGTATCCATGAATGTCTCACAATCTCTCACATAGCTTGTGGTGGTCGCACTGATACGGCCTGTCACGGGGGCGACCACTCACGCCCGGACAAGACAGTACGGGCAAGCCTTGTAGTGGAACCTAGTCATGTATAGTATACGATTCAGCATTTTGTGTTTTGGGTGGAGGGGAGGGTGGCATTCAGCGTGTCCACTTTGAGTATGTGTGCCCCGAGCTTATTTCTCTGTACATTCCATGTATGTGTATGCAGACCACCGATCTCTATCGAATATCTATATATATATATATATATGCGTGCCTGTTGGTAATCCTGTCTGTTGTGCTCCCTTGGGCCTTTAATTCCACAGGTACCCTTACTCGGTGCATGGATTCTATACTCTACCATCATCAAACCAATGACGGGTAGGTAGGAGTGCTGTCACGAGGCAACGGATAGCCACTCAGTATGGGTCGAGGTTTACTGTAAGTCGCGAAGCTTAGAGCTTGCACTACCCTGGTGTACAGTGGAACGATGTTTATTGACAGACTGCGCCGAATACGCAGGCGAAGATGATGATGTGAAGCTGCGGTTGACGGAGTCATCGCAGCGGAATGGGGTGGGATGGTTGCACTGGGAGTGTGAGTCTGTGTCAGACATCTGGCAGACGGCTTTGTCGGGAGATGCGTCTGTGCCTGTCCATGGCTTCTAAGAGTTAGGTGGTTCCTAATACCGGCTATTAGCGGGTTATGCGGTACAAGCTTTACTAACATATACTTCACACAGGGATTTACAGGAATCAAGAGAGATATGGGCTCGAAATATGTTGAACGATGGTGGTCAGTAGGATTCAGTGGTGCGTATGTAGGCTTCGAGTGATGGATGGAACGCTAAGCTACACGACCCGAGTGGTGACTAGAGTGCGTTGCACTTGCAACCTGTTATCAGCCATATCAAACACAGAACCGATCTGTGCGGCAAGCGCCTTTACAGCCGAACATTAGCACAACGTACGAGTGTCGAGGCCGGTCTCCTTGTCGCAAGCGGTCATGTTCACAGTCGCTCGCTGGAATGTGTGGCACTCTAAAGTGTGTAAATTTGTTGCTGAGATGTGTGATGCCAATGAGCTCGACAGCCATGGCTCTGTGCACGTTGAATGTACAAGTTGAATGTGCACGTTGAATGTATTACATATGCGCTAGCAGTGACTATCGTATGGCATTTCTGTACTACGAAAGTGAGGGAGTGGTTGTGCACGGCGATATGGTACGAAACGCCTGGTTTGTGTGTAATGTGAGATAAATCAACTGGGGTGTGGGGTGCACGCAGCCGTTCTTTGGCCTCGAGGGACTAAAGTTTCTGATAGGAGATGTATTTCAAACGTGCTCTGGGGCCCAGCCTGCGAGTGTACACGGACACTGTGTGAATATACACTGGATGTCAAAATGCACCGTTGAGTATGTGCGACCACCGCTGTGACACACAAAGTGGCTTGCGGCTGCTTACTGGATGTGATTGTTTATTCATATATTGCCAGTGGTTCTGTGCAGATAGCGACCGATTAGGAGCGTTGGCAACTGGGCCTGCCCATTCCACAGACCATGACAGCAGTGACCTCACACGACCAATAAAGTGACGGTATCTCTGTTCTGTACCTTGCTGCATGCATTTTATGCTGGCAGTCAAAGCAACGCCTGTGCGGCATTGTGCACATTTTCTATGAACCAGGGACATCCGATAGCTTTGAAGTCTACAGACATCAATATGTAGATATATTCCTTATCACAGACTTTTGTACTTTATATGTTTTTAAATTCTATTAGGTTCATTAGCTTGTGTATTGAAGGTGTATCCGAAGAAATGCATGAATAAATACCTAACGACGCCAGTTTTCACTTCCAATAATTACACGCTAAAAAACGTGAATCATTGGGCAAGTGATAATTTACACCCAGTAACGTACTTGCTGTGAATTCGACCATGGCATATTCGCTCATGTTTATATCTATGCACAAATTTAACACGGAAGTAACCTAAGCCTAGTTTGTCATCAACGTGCCAAAACTCAACATTAACATTGTATTTGCAGGGTAAGAGGAGCTACTCCACAACTTATCGATAGTATTTTTCTGCATTTTTGTGTATACTTCTATTTATATATTTCAAATAAGATTCGCGAACTTCACAATATAGTCAATGCAAGAGCAAACAGCTACGCGCCTTCAATAGTAAAAATGGTAGAACTAGTTGGAATTGACTGTACTCGGCAGCTTACAAAACCTTCCTGCCTACGTGTCGCCGCAACCACCCAACGAAAAGATTGTCAATTTTGAGCGAATGTAATCACGGGTATGAGTTGATAATCACCTGAAGCGGCTTTAAGCTGTCACCTTGCTCAGTCAATATTCAACCGACTGATTGTGCGCCCATGTAGTGGCCGTCCAGTTGTCTTGAGCTATGGCCTAGCCATCGTACTTTTGCACATGAGCATCAGAGGTACTCATACATACGTATACGCTTCCGGCTACTCGGTAATCAGCTCCGTGTATTTGTTTTTAACGATTAGCTCTTTTCTACTGGCGTTTGCCTGCATCTGATGGACACCACACTGCGTACGCCTATGATGTAAGGCGGAAAACCCAGACACTACCTGGGGGCACACGTCTTTTATGGTCCCTCTGGAAATTAGCAAGAAAGAAAAGGCATCCAGCAAGAATGGCTCCCTTGTGCGGCTACCCCTGAACTTTGACTCCTACAGGTGAAACCTGTACGACACTAGTCTGCACAGATGCGGGAGGAGACAACCCGTATTACCTTACGAATGAAGCAGATATTTACTTATCTTCTTAGTTGTAACCAAAGCTACTTCGGGGACCAATTCCTTCTTTCTCTTGCTATGAGAGGCCATAATTTCGGATATATGGTGTGCGATATAGTACGTGTTCAAATGTGGTTTGGAAGTGCCGAAAGCATTGTAGCCAGCATTTATACTCGTGATCCGTTGAGCAAAGTTGAAATATTGTAGCTGGGCACATCATCGTGTGTGTATACCTCTTGTTGTAACATTTCACACACATACCCGCATGGAATCTAGAAAGGAATCTCAGAAGGCTTCGCCGAGATATCATTGCTGTGGTATTGAATACGGATGGCACGGATTTTAATACAAATTAGATTGAGGAACCCCGAGAGCCTGTGTTAGAAACTATCTTTGAAGCGAAAAATGCACTGCCGTACATTTGGTGTTCTTTCCTGTATATATAGAACGACAAACGCTTCTAAATAGTGCTGCGCGGCGTACATAGCATGATCCTTTTGGCTTTTTAATTTATACGTTTGCTTCTCTGTACGCCCATTTTTCGATTGTCGTAGACAGAAACTTGGTTTCCGTGTGAGACCCGTTCTCTTCAATCTCTTGTGTTGAGATCACATGTGAGTACATCGGCCATAGGCTATTCAATTATTTTATAAATAGAAAAAAAAGCTGATGAATCGACTTCGATGGTACACATCTTTTGTGACGCCATCAATATTGACGTCACGAGAATGATCAAAAAGGAGTAATGCAACTATAAGTTGACCACTCAGAAAATGACCTATTGTCAGATTGGACTCATAGGAGACTAAACATAAAACGTGGACCTCTCACTGCTCAGTCACAGTTTCCTCACGTCCTCACCTCTGGATTTTCTTTCTGAGTCAGAGATTTTCGCCTAAAATTGGCTAAATTGCCTTTTGGAACGCGAAAGTTCAAATGCCATGCATAAAAAAAATGACAAAAATTTCAAAATAGCTGCATAGCCGCGACCCGGCGCACGGCGGACCGGATACCGGATCCGGGATCGCCCTTTTATAGTTTATAGTACAACAAGGCTGCAACGAGAGTACGACGTACATGTGTAAACAATTTCGAATTTTACACCTGCCAGGCTGCCATCAGTATTCACTCTAGTCAGTGCCACGGCCCACTGGGCTCGCTCTGAGTCTGCTGGGCCGCTGGGGAGTGGGGGCTGTATGTACGCCCCCGTGATATAGGCCATGGCTCACGGGCCATGCCCCTGTGAGTCACTGGTTAGCAACAGCAAGACCGTGATTCTCACTCTGGGTCTGTCTGGGACTCTGGGACTGTCTGGGATCAAGAGTGTCCAGCCCGAGCCTGCGGTTAATCGGTTATGTAGCAGTATATATTTGATTTTTTTATATTTTAAAAATTATAAGAAGGGTATGTTTATATAATGTACATATGTAAATATTATTGGTTTAAGTAGAAGGGTATGTTTATATAATGTACATATGTAAATATTATTGGTTTTAAGTTTAAAAATATATTATTAATAGTAAAGCAATTGTTGTGTTTACTTTTTGTTTAGTTATTTATGTCAGTCATGACTCATGACTCCATGAGTCAACTCAAACAGAGAACTCAGTCAACTCTGAACTTCACAACTTCACAACTTCACCTGGCTGCCTGCTGTCACTGGTCACTGGTCACTGCCTCACTGGAGTGCAGTGTGCAGCAGCCAGCGCCCAGCAGGGCTGCAGGGGTGGAGACTGGTGAGGAGTGGTGAATCACCGAATCGGAAGCCGAGGGCGAGAACTCCTGATTCCAGAAGCTGTAAGCCTGTGGGCTGTGATGACTGACCTGAACTCGAGAATCGAGATATCTGTCACTGGTCACTGTGATCAGCACCAAGCAGTGCAGTGAGTACTCATGAGTCAGCGGATGTTTTTCTATTAAATATTTATGTTGATTTTATCTTTTGTTTTTGTTTTGTTTAAAACAAAACCCCCCTGCCCTACCAAAAAAATCAAAT